GGCTTGGGCTTTAGGGCTTAGGGTTTGGGGTTTAGGGTTTAGGGTTTGGGGCTTGGGGTTTAGGGCTTAGGGTTTTGGGTTTTGGCTTTAGGGTTAGGTTTTGGGGATTGTTTAAAGGGGTCCAGGATGGTTTGCAGATAAGGGTTGGGCATTGCTTAACTATTTTTTTAGGATGACTTAGGATGGTTTAGGGTTTACGGCTTAGGGTTTGGGGTTTAGGATGGTTAGGATGGTTTAGAAATTGGGGCTTGTCCCTAAACCTAAGCTTTAGAATTGGAAAACTCGATACATAACACCGGTTGGAAGCTCTTCAAACACCCTCCACGCCAAAGCTACGATTGTCAGGCGACGGATTGTCTTCTACGGAAGACAAACTCGGGGTTGCTAGGGTCCTTAAACTTGTAGAGCGTCTCCTCTGTATATTATACATACACTGCATTTAGTATGTGTGTGTGTGTATATGCGTATATACATATTTATATGTACGAAAAGATAGATAGATCGATAGAAAGATTGATGGAAAAATAGATAGATGGATGGATGGATAGATAGATTAGATAGATTAGATAAAGTTAGATAGATTAGATAGATAGGATAGATAGGATAGATAGGATAGACAGACAGACAGATAGATAGATGATACATAGATAAATAGACAGGTAGATAGACAGATAGATAGACAGACAGATAGACAGACAGATAGCTAGATAGATAGATAGATAGATAGACAGATAGCTAGATAGATAGATAGACAGACAGACAGACAGACAGATAGCTAGATAGATAGATAGATTGCCAGATAGATAAGCCGACACATAGCTAGGTAGATAGATAGATTGCCAGATAGATAGACAGACACATAGCTAGATAGATAGATAGACAGACAGATAGCTAGATAGATAGATAGATTGCCAAATAGATAGACAGATACATAGATAGATAGATAGATAGATAGATAGCTAGACAGCGAGATAGCAAGAAAGCTAGATAGATCGACAGATAAATAGATAGATAGATACTGTGCTCGTTGAGTTTTGGGCTTTGGGAATATGCTGGTGGGCCGGGCTGACAGAGACACTATCTCTCCGATATTCTCGTGGTCTCGGGAAATCGTCCTCAGGTTGCTCGACCATGTCCTCTGAAATGTTGGGTGGCTCATGTATGCTTGCAAGATCGCATGATCCTGCAACAGACTACTCATTTCGATCCCCATCCCGTTCGGCCGGTGGCGGTTGCTACGCAAGCCGATACATGCGAGCTCAAACCACTTGACACGGCAGAGCGACGCTGGGGTTTCTGGTGTGACAGCCAAGTTGCAGCCAGATCACCTCCACCACCTCCGATGCAGGCTCCCAGTCGCAGCCAGCATCCAGGTCGATGCCAAGCCACTCGCTTCGCTCGGCGCGAGCTGGCAGCCAGAAGGGGTCAAAGGCCGAGAGGTCCACTTCCGCGACGCCGCCGGGAAGACGGGCTTGAGGGAGACGGGCCTCCACGAGGGAGGCCCGGACGCGGAGGCCGCGGGGCACCAAATAGCCACCCGGGCGAAGCAGCCTCGCAGGCTTCCTACGGCGTGCGGCCACACCCACTAGTCACTACCCCTCTCTGTTGCAGAGGCCTGCTTTTGGCATGGCGAAGGAAAGGGATGATCTTCTCGCCAAGGCCACCAGCATCTAAGAGCTCCGCGACGACCACGTCAAAGCGGTCCTGCCGTGTTCTGAATGCCTGGGCCACGCTGCAACACTGGTTCTGGTGGCACGCTTCGTCAGGCTTTCAACCTCGGTCTATCTCAGGTCCTCCTCCGCGACAGAGACCGTGCGAATGTCCCCACACAACACGCTGACCTGCAAATGCATTGCCCAAGTGCGGCATACAAGGGATCACGAGGGCACAGGACAGGGGTTTGCAGCATGTGGGATGAAGCTGCTCGCTCTTGAAACCTAGACTTGGTGGATATACATAAACACATAGACACATAAACACATATACATATACATATACATGTACATAGACATAGACATAGACATAGACATAGACATAGACATAGACATAGACATAGACATAGACATAGACATCAAAATATATATATATATACATATATGTATGTATGTATGTATGTATGTATGTATGTATGTAATTATGTACGTATGTGTATATATATATATATGTATACGTATGTTTATCTACATGTTGCAATCACTGTTTGCGAAATTTGCCACGATGCACAGCCCGAGGAATAGACAACCGCAAGATGTGAGTGGACTGCCTGCGGGTGCGTTGCCCCTCTCGTTGGTGCCTTGTCCTCGTGGGCCAAGACCCGCCGCGCACATCGCGCCAGGTGGGGCGAGTGGTCCACACCCAGCACTTCCGTGGCACCTGCATTCCACAGCGTAAGTCTTGGAGCGAGCATGTCGCTCGCAGCGGTGTGAGTGGAGCAACATGGGCACCGAGCCTGCTCGCAGCGCGAGCATCGACAGCACCCCAGCGCCGCAGCCAAGGTCGATGACCTCACAGTGACTCACCGCATCAGGCAGAACTTGGGGGCTGCGAGTCTCAACTAGTTTTAAGCCGTGCGACGCGGCAGGCCCCACTTGGCTGGCGGGCCGCGGCGATGACTTTCCGGATCGCGGCCTCAAAGGCCGTGTTGCGAGGCACGTCGTTCATCATCTCGGCATACCAGTCCTCGGCTGGTACTGAAGTACTTCCGGGTGTGAAGCAATTTACAGGTGAGATTCGAGTAGGAAGACTCGCGGTAGCGGCGGCGAAGAGTAAAGCGTGAGGTCGGGAACCTGCACAACAAAAGCTTACACTGCCTACACCAAATCAGAACTCTGGAGTGCCAGTGCCTCGAACCAAAAGCGCTGAAGATTGCAGCAGGTAGTAACTGCAACCTCACTGCCAGACGGAAGCTTCTCTAGCCTGCCAGCATCAGGGAAGCATGTATGGACAGCCAAAACATCACTTCTTTACTTTCTCCCATCGCGAATGCATACTAAAAGAGCTAATCCGCACCTGGCCGGCAGCTGCTGCACGCTTTGTCCCGTCCAGCCTTTCCACTCTGTGCTGACTGATAGTTTCTTCAGTCATTGTACCCGTGTTGCAGTCACACGTCGATAGACAGCTGGGGTAGTCAAAAAAACCAATCACGGATTCCTATGTCTGTTTGAAACCTTATCGTTTTATTTTATTCCTTATCGTGTTACAAGCTCAGGGTCATGTTTACAGATACATACAGACATACATACATACATACATACATACCTACATACATACATACATACATACATACATACATACAGGCAGACAGACAGACCGACGGACAGACAGACAGACAGACAGACAGACAGACAGAGACACACACACACACACGTCACAAGCCCAAGTCTCGGTTGCAAGTTGCGGGCTTGCGGCAGTCAGTGCCCT